AGAGGTCTGTAACCCTGCACGTAGGACTGTCAGCCATGAACACAGAGAAGCTCTCAGATGGCAGAGGATCAATGACTGCACCTCTGGGAATGAACTCACTTAGGGCTCAGAAAGAAAAAAAATAAAGGGAAGCCTGCTGAACCAGCAAAGGAGATAATCAGCCCATGTCTCCATCCGAAGTTTACTTTTGTTAACGACAGGAACACTTATCAGATATGGAGCTACTTTTCACTCTAGTCAGCTAGAGATTTTCTTTTTTTCCCCTCCAGTTAAGATGAACTAGTTCAGAACAATGCATTTCAAGGACACAATCGGGCTCGTCATCATTGAAAACTGCAACCCTAAATTGTTAGGAAATTGCACAATGCTATGTTGAAATGGTTTCAAAAGTTCTTTAGACCTGGAGCTGGCTCTTTGGTCTGTGTGGACTCCATTCTGCACCAAGTTTGGGCCAGACACAAAAGTGGCTTTCAGTGGACCCAAGTGGGAGGTGGCCAACAGCTGCCTCACATTTTATGAGTTTCAAGGACCAACACAAGCGAGCCAGGTCAAAAGAAACCATGTCCCAACACAGCTCTCCATGCTGGTGACATGCATTCATGTTCGAGGGTCTCACTTCTCTACAGTTGTTCCTCTTCCGTTAATCTGAGTATCACTGTACTTTGCTTACAGGAAGTCTACAGAAGAAACGTTATTTTAAACTTTGATGCTCATCAGCCTAGGACTGTGATATCTTGCTTTCAATGATTGACTTATTCTACACAAATAGGTTTGTAGCAAGTGTGGAGGAGAAACTTTCCTCTGCCCTTCAACATTTTTTCAACTGGTCTAACAATTAAATCTACATGAGACAGATTAACAAGAGAAAAGAACTAAATTTAATTTCATACATACATATGGGAGCCCCACAAAGATGAGCAAGACACCACCTATGTGAGAGGTTCTGAGACAGGGAAAATGAGGCATATGTGACATTCTGAGCTAAAGATGAGGTAAGGCACCTTGGGGCTTCAGAGGGTCATTGCAGGACAAGAACAGATGTTCCTTTAGTAGTTAGTAGTTAGCCCTGCCGTATAGATAGGTCAAAAAAGGTCATCTCTGATCTCTGACTGTGGCAAGGGCCCTAATTCATCTTCTTCTAGGTAGTGAAGAGGAAAGAGGAGAAGAGTTTCTTGTAAGCCTGCAGGGTCTTGAGTACCTTCAGCTCAAAATTCACATACCAAAGCGGCATGTTTTGGGGAGGCCTGTTCCAAATCCCTACAAACGGAACAAAGGGACGATGCAGGGAAATGTCATGCAAATAGCCTCCCAGAGTCAAACTGTTTTAAACAAAAACTTTAGGAATTTGAACTTGAGATCTGGAAGGAAAGTCTAAGGGGGCTCTACAGAACTGCTTGCCCACTGGGATCCTCACCTGCCCTGCAGCCCACCCTGTCGCGATGGTCAGTGCACAGGTGCACTTCCCTTGCGAGCCTCAGTTTGAGATCAGGACTGCGCGTTTATCACCAGTACCCCGAAAAGTGCCTGGCTCGTAGCAATTTTCAAACACGGTTCAATCAATGAACATATGAACAAACACACAAATAGCTCTGAGGATTTGGTCTTTTAGGATGTAGAAAGTATGAGTTAGATGCCTTTTTTTTTTTTTTTTCGAAATCCCTCCAAATTAGGACATGTGCATTTGATCCGTCACATAATGAAATAATACTTTTCCGTAATAGCATGACATTTGAGGTAAATCAATGAGATAAAAAAATGAGAGGTACTTTCAGTGTTTCTTAAAGAAAAGTGGAACAGCTGTTATTTCACAGATCACAAAGAGGACAACAACAAACAGTTGGCCAGCATTTCCTCCTGCAGGTCAGCCTCTCAGACTGAACTTAGGATTTCTTTCTAGGCGCCGAGAGAAAATGGGCTGTCAGCTCTGCACTGGGTTTGGAAGGTCTTCCCCAGCAGGCTGAGCTCTCAGAATGCACAGGCCCGGCACTCACCCTGAATCACCGCCTTCCTCCCCTGCAAGACCTGTCCCCAGGCATCTGGAGGTCACATGGTCTGCCTTGCTCGTCCCAGCTGCAGTTCCCACTCCCTTCCAGCTGCAAGGCAGGATATGGACACGAGGCTGCTGTAGGTACAAAGTGTTTGTCCCCATCTCAAAGGGCTAGTTAAGCATTCTATCAAAAAGAATTGCCAATGATTTATTGTTGCCGATTGTGCTCTCAATTGGATTTCCATGGAATTGAAAGACCTGCAGCATGAAATGAACTCGGAGAACATTGAGTAAAATCTCTATTTTTTAAAAATGACAGAATTATCAACCAAAGCCAATCGTTTACTTTAGGGCTCATCCTTGGTGGTGTACATTCTATCGATCTAGACAAAGGTATAATGACATGCATTCATGATTATATCATACCAATGATTTTTATTTTTTTACAGCTCTAAAAATCCTCTGTGCTCTACTTTTGCATTCCTATCTCCCTGCTAATCCTGGGCCACCAACGATCTTTTCATTGTCTACAGTTTAGGTGATGATGTGTCAGTGCAGGTTAATCAACAGTAATGAATGCACCATTCTGGTGGGGGATGTTGATCATGGAGAAGGCTCCCATGTGTAGGGGGCAGGAATTATATGGGATATATCTGTACCTTCCTCTCAGTTTTGCTGTGAATCTAGAACTGGCCTTAAAAACAAACAAACAGAAAACAAAATTTGAGATGGAGATGAAAAAGACCAGGTCACAGAGGTGATTTACTGCAGACCCAGACCAACATTAGAACCCAGGCGTCTTATGCTGCAAGCTTTATGCACCGCTAATTATGCAACCTGGTATCCCATAACAACAAGTCAAGAAATACTTAGTGAGCATCCACAGTGTGCTTCTTGGAAACACAAGTGAGAAATAATGGAGTTGGGGGAATCTCCTCTAGGTTCAACTGATCACCTGCTCATGTGAGCGGCAGAGAAGTGGGATATGTCCTGAGGTTAACAGCTGGGTTCTGTTGTCCCACCACCATCTCCCCCAAAATGCACACACTCATCCCAGCACCTCTATACTTTAGATAATGCTGTGTTCTGTGCCTGGGAGACTTTCTGCTCCACCTCCAGCTGCTACTCACCTCCACAGGTGAAGCAGTGTGTTCACCACGTCTTCTGTGAGGCTGTCTCAGGGCAGAGACCCTCCCTCACACTTCTGACCTCTGAGTACTTTCTAAATAAGTCTATTACAGAATTTGGAAGTATGACAAGTCTTTATTAGCCCTCCAATTAGACCGCGCACTCCATTATAGCAGAACTGGATCTCAATCACTTCTGTATTTTCAAAAACAAACTCTGGGATGGGGTACAGTTGACATGCTCCAAAAACCATAGAGAGGACACCGATCTACCATTTCCTTTTTCCAGAGCATAGTTTGAGACTTGAAAACATTCAAACACAAAAATAAATATAGCTTTTACAATGAAGCAGCTGATAGAATATAATGGGTACTGTAGATTGAAGAGTTCTGGTAGGGCACAGCGATGTATCACTAAGATATAAAACATTTTTTTCCTTTAGAAAAATGATTGTCAACAGTATTATAATTTTTCATTATTCTGAAATGGTTCATAACCATTTAGGTTAACAATGAGAATAATAATGAGTGAGCATTTGCTTTAAAAATAGAAAATCACATAAAGTATAGAAAGAGCAGCTTGATCCTAACTCAAAACTCACAAAATGGGAGTCATTTTGGAAAGCTGTAAGGCCAACAGTTATGAGGAGAGCAGAAAGTAAGACTAAATGAATAAACCTGGAAAAGAAATCTAGTATAAAAAATCTGGCTTTAGATTTGATTACATATGAACAAGTCAAAAAAATCAAAGACAGGTAAATAGTTATTTATCATCCTTGCTGCCTCAGGAACAAGAATTAAACTGTGCTGGAGCCAAAGGTTGTATAATAAAGGACTTGGCAAGTTTCAAACAACCAACTGTTCGATTCAAGAGTTAGAGATAACATGGACACTAATGCACTGAACAAAGATGGTTAAGCTGTTTTTTCCTAGCACGTGTACAATGTATAATGGTGTACTATTAGAACTAAAAGGGTTTAGGTAAAAAAAACAAAACAAAAGCCCTGGCCAGTTTGGCTCAGTGGCAGAGCCTCAGCCCGGAGACCAAAGAATCGTGGGTTTGATTCCAGTCAAGGGCACGTACCTGTACCTCTGCTGTGGTTCAGGCCCTGGCCCTGGTCCAGGTCGTGCCTGCGAGAGGCAAACAATGTGTCTCTCTCACCTCGATGTTCCTGTCTGTCTCTCACTCTATCTGAAGATAAATGGAAAAAAGTATCCTTGGGTGGGGATTAAAAACAAAACTTATCTTTTTAAAATATCTTTTGCTCCTTTTTATAGGTTTTTGTAAATTGTATTTTCCCTAAACATGAACACAACATCTGATCTGTTTACTTATTTTACTTAATAAGGAACTGATAGAAATAGAAATACCAGGGTTGGCAAAAGTAGGTTTACAGTTGTGAGTCTGCAAAACAGTGTTCATTCTTGTATTATTTTCCCTATGAACACGACTGTAAGCCTACTTTTCCCACCCCGTATACATACAGGAATACCACAGAGATGTGAATTCGGTTCCAGACTCCCGTAATAAAGTGAGTCGCAACCTTTTTTGCTGGTGGTAGGTCTTGCCTTCAGTTTGTAAAAAATGTTAATACCTGCGAAGTTCAATAAAGTGAAACGCAATAAAATGAGGTCTGCCTGTATATGTAACATGCGGGTATCCTACATATGACAGCCCAGAATTTACTAATTGTACAGGTTTTCTGGCTATTTCAATTATTCCAAAAAAGAATTATAGAGAAAACATATATTGGCTATTTACTGTAATTAAAGCATATTCATTATATTTTTTAAATCTTCATTAAAAAAAAAATTCTGATAATGCTAAATCTTAACCTTTTAATAGGAATGTCGGTATGTTATGTTTGCCTATCTTTTCTTTATTTACGTTAACGATCAAACAGAAAACAATGAGGAATGTAGGTCTATTAAAAACATATAAAAAATACTTGTAGTGACAGTTGAAATACTCTGGCCCTCACAAATAATGCTTAAGAAATCAGACTCAGCTTCTTGTAGGTAAATGTAATTGTGCCCACGGCTGGACTATTTCACTCTGCTTTTGCCTGCAGGTTATACTTCTGTGGCTGGAAAAAATGTTCTTCAATAGCTGTGACTAGTTCATTTAGTTCTTTCTTCAGCTGCTCAGGATCACTGCAAAGTAAGGGAGGGAAATTCCAGATCACTGGATTATTCCAAAGCACATTTTAAATCCTCCCCACACTGACCCAGCAATACTGAACTGTAACCTTAAGAGGAGGCTAAATCAGACAGAACAGAACTCCAGTGACTTCAGCCTCTGTTGACATGGACAGAAAAAAGCTCGTGAGACATTGTTCGTTATCTTCCCTAATGGTTTTCCCAAAGTCTCAACCAGAGACAAAAATCACCCCTTTCCAGTCCTCAAAAAGAATTGTTAAGAAACACAATATTTTGACCTACCATCCCCAAAAGATCTGCAATGTTTGTACCTAAAAGTGCAGAGAAAACTTCCACGACTCCAGTTGCCATTAAGTCCTGCTGAACCTTTACAAGCGACATCTGTTCTGTCCTAGGTCTTCCAGGATGAGAATATTCCTGGTCTGTTTCCCCTCAAATTACTTACTGGCAGCTCAGCGGCAGATGAGTCTGTAAGGCCTTCCTGAATGGACGGGGAGCCTCCTAGCGGGCCTGCTAGTCACATGCCAGGAACTCACACCCCAGGGTTTATCTTTAATATTCCACCTCCAGAACAAAGGGGCCACGATCGAAATATAAACAATAATCTAGGGAGCTAGATCCCTCTAAGGAAATCGAGTTCTCAAGCATGTGGAAAACACTCATTCATATGTAAACGGTTAGACGGTAGATGACAGATAAAACAGACTTGTAATTAGACACGATTCCAGCAGCTCATTAAGCGTCAGGCCACCAGCACAGGGTGAGTCACTATAAGAACTTGAAACCAAAAAGCTGACTTAAAAATCTAAATCCTTCAATTCAAAATTTCATTACTTCATCCTTGACCATCTCTAATATATATATACTGTATTTTAATGGAAATGGCAATCCTTGTAACTTAAGATCATTTTTACACTGTGAAAGCTAAGCAGTACAACTAAAATAATCCCCTTCACTACAGGCATGGACTCTGGCTCACTGGTTACTAGTTTGTGCCCCTGGGCAGGTGGCGTAGCCTCTGGAAGGCCCAGATTCCTCACTGGTGAAATTGAGATAAAGACTTTACCTTCTCAAGAGAGTTGTACAGATTGAGATAAATTATATAAAGTAATTAGCATAGAACCTGGCCCAAAAACCTCAATAAATGTAGCTGTCATTATAATTATTTTTACCCCCACTGGTAACATATAAAGTATTTATGCTTCATAAGTACATATGACTCACACATCAGTGTGCTTTGAAGAAAACACAACTCTCAGGAAGGCACACAACTAATAATTACTGTGTTGTTTTTTTTTGCAATACACCTAAAACTACAGTAAATTTACTATATTCAGACATAGACATATACCTATCCATCTATATAGAGCTATGTATCTATCTACAGCTCCTACTGGTTTTGCTTCTGTTAGAACCCTCCCTGATGTAATTATTATCTAAACCTTAGACAGTAAGAGAATGTCTTTCTTCTCAGGGATGCATACTAAAAGTGGTGACTTACTTTCAAATGGCTCAGAAAAAAAACAACCAACCAAAATTAGAATGTATGTGGTGAGAGCAAGCAAATAGCAGAAAATGTTAGCAATTGCTAATTCCAGGGTGGGGGAGGCAAACCAGGGCTTAAGGCCTGCTTTAAGGGGACACAGCCACAGCCGTTCCTTCACGTCCGCGGCTGTCTCCTCGCTACAATGGCACAGCCGAGCAGTTGTGACGGAGACCACGTGGGCCTGTAAACCCTAAATTATTCACTATCCAGCTCTTTACAGGAATAGCTCGTACCCGGGTCTAAGCGAGGGTATGCAATATTCACTACATTATTATTTCAACATTTCTGTAGGTTTGGAATTTTCCAAAATTAAAACTAAAGACATGTATTCCAACCAAAATGTTTTTTAAAAGGCAGGACTTATACTGGAAAGGATTTCATATTCTATGGGATTAGTAGGTTGTGAAATTCTGTGAGTAAATGAAATTCATGACACGACTATATTAATAACCTTTCAGGTTATTAGAAAGCAAGGAAAGCTTAGCCATGGCTTTGCTGCTGATGTACCCCGGGTATGCCGGTGCCTGGCTTGAGCCCAGACGGCATAGCCATGGATGACAAAGTGCCTAATGTCCCAGTTAATGAAAGCAAGCCACGTTTCAATGACTATAGGAAAAGGACAACATTTCAAAGTATTTTCAGCAACTTATAAGCCAGTATTTGAATTTAAGTTCACTTAATAAGCTATGTGAAAAAATGTCAATACCACAGAGCCTTAAACATTAAATAGTATTACTATTATATAGAAAAGTTTTATGAAATATTAGGCATATTTTCACAAGAAAATGAAAAGAAAAAGACAAATATATATAGAAAACACCTTTTAAATTGGCCTAATGTCTTATTTTTCCCCTAAAAGGATAAGACACAGAAATGTAAAAACGCTAAGTGAGCATGAGAATGACAGAAAAGTCAGTGGAAACTCATACTTGATACAGTGGCAGCTAGCTTGTCATTTGGCACACATGGAAACACTGATACTTGCACAATATTCGATCGGACACTGGTAATGCAAAGCGTTCAGAAAATGAGCTGGTTTATGTGTTTAAGTTGCTTAATAGTTGAGTTTTTGCCCTTGAAGCACAAGAAGGTTTTGAATGGGAATCTGTACAAAATCTATTACCGTCCCATGACTTCATAAATATATTAGTAACTTGAGCTTGAGAAGTATACTCATGACTTGGACAGCTGTTCCGTAGTTCTTATTCAGAAGATTCAGGGCCCTCTGGGTGTGGAATGCTATTTCAGTCATGATCAATTCTCCGAGTGGTGACATTTTCAGTTCTTGTTTCCATGTTTCTAGTTTTGTTTTGCTTCAGTACTTTTTTGCTTTGCTATCAGCACTCACTTTCCCTGCCTAAGGAAAGTGTAACAATAATTCCCCCTTCCCAATTTGCTACATTTTAATCTACTATTGGCTTGCTAGTTTAAGATGCCTGCTCTCACCTATTTGTGGAATATAGTGAACAAAATAAACCGACAAACAAAATAGATCCAGAGACATGGAAGTAGGGAATAGACTGACAAACCTGGGCGGGGGGGGGGGGGGGGGGGGGGGGCAGGAAGAAATAAACCAAAGAACTAATATGCATAACCAATGGTCACAGATAACAGTGCTGGAAGTGAAGGCTGGGGAGGGGGGAGGGGGGTAGGAATGAGGAGGAGGGTATTAACGGGGGAAAAAAGGAGGGATATCTATAATACTTTTAACAATAAAGTTTTTTTTTTTTTTTAAAAAAAAAGGATGCTCAGAGATATTCTGCTTCTATTTCCACATGGTGCAAATTTGATTCACAAGGCCAGAAAACCCCTTCTGTGAGCAAAGCTTTGGAATACAGGTTGTGACCACCACCTCGACAGGCTGTCCACTACAGTAGCCATCAGCCACACATGGCCGCCGAGCACTTGAAATGTGCCCAGTGCAACTAAGAAACCAATCTTTAAATTTCATTTAAGTCTGACGGGAGGAAATTCAAATTTAAAAACTGACACTTGATTTGGATGTTGGAAAACTTAAGCATGTTTGGAACAACGAATAGCAAGCTCTACTTTTTTAACTGTAAATTTTATGAAATCTAAATACAGATCATGTATTTCCAAAAACATCTGGCCTTTGAATTGAGATACATGGTATGTTGTAAGATACTAAATGGATTTTGAAGACTTGGTGTGACAAAAATGTGAAATATCTCTAATAATTTTTATTATGGATTATATATTGTGATGATGACATTTAAATATACTAAGTTAAATAAAATATATTATTAAAATTAACTTCAGCTGTTTCTATTCACAAATGAAAAATTTAAATTGTATATATGGCTCAAATTTTATTCTATTGGACAGAGTTGACTTCACCTTAAATTTTGTTTTCCTCAATTCTTAACTATAATCTCTAACTAGAGCAGTGCTAGTTAACTGTGGGTCAAATAGGCATGCAGTTTCACACCTGCATATGCTAAATACATACTCCGCAGTTGTTAAAGTTCAAATTGTTTTAACTCAAACCCTCCCCATAGTCACAAAGCTATGGTGGCAAGGACTCTTTCTGACATTAGCTCTTTATCCTGGGACCCGGCACAGACTTATGCAAATAGGTGCTCAAAATATTTGTTATATGTGTGTGCAGAGGATTTTAATTTATTGTATCAGACACTTGGTAAAAGAGAAAAACTAATTGGTGCTTGCTTCAAAAAAGTACTAGAAGGAGGAAATGTCATTACTGTTACTGAAATTAGGAATGAAATTTCCTCCTACAAAGAAACGTTGTATGTGTGAGAGAGAAGTAAGTAATTAGGCAGGAGTGAACACTCTTGGCCCTGGATGCTTCAAGCAGCTGTTAATAGTATCACAATATTGCTGCAGGTTCTGAAACAAGCTTCCTAATTAAAGGACATATTGGAAGATCAAATGTTTTAGTTAGCATCGGAAGAGAACCAACTAGGAAGGTTAGGGACCAAAACCACAGCAGCTGCCGTCCACATCTCACCAGTCTCCGGGCGGGGCGCACAGCTCCGAATAGTACTTGATCTTGGGCTCTGTCCCGCTGGTCCGCATGGTGGCCACACCTCCATTGGCAAAGGTAAAGGTGATCATCTGGCTGCTTTTACTAGTAGGGAGAACCTAGGAATGAATTACACATGTTCTAAATTTCTATAGTAAAAGAAACTCTTCTGGCCTAAAAGTTTCCCCTAGATAAGCAAGAAAATAAATGCCAAATATATCGGTTCAGAAAGAAGATTTTTGAGAAAACCTGAAAATGTAATCCATATAAATGACATACTAAATAATAAGGAAATTGGTGAACTTTAAGTAACTTTGCATACTAGGCTTTTAACCTCCTTCGTTCTATTCCTTAAAACTATTCGAGTTTTGCCCTGGCCAGTATGGTTCAGTGGTTAGAGCATCAGCCTGCCCACTGGAGGGTAGTGGGTTTGATCCCCAGTCAAGGGCATATACCTGGGTTGCAGTACCTAGGTTCCAGGTTTGATTCCCAGGCCGGGTAGGGGCGTGTGCGGAAGGCAACCAATCGATGTGTCTCTCTCACATCAATGCCCCTCCACCCCCAAAAAAGAAGAGGGAAAAAAAATCAATGGAAAAAATATTCTCTGATGAGGATTAACAAAAAGCCTACTAAGGTTTTACTAAAATTGAAATACACTATTTCACAAGAAATTGATTTAAATAGATTAATGCATTACAAAAAAATAAAAAACAAACACTAGACCTTATTTAACTTGATAAAAAGGTCTATAAACAGACTTTAAAAAACAGAGCTTCTGGCAAATGTGTTCATAGCTGATAGCCTTGAAAGTCTCACTAAAATGACAGTATAGAAAACAAAACAAACACAAGGGCAAAGAGGAAAAAAGGAAACAGCAGTTGACGGGGTTGCCAGCCAACTCAGGAAGTCAGAAAACAGATGGAGGAGCAGAATTGGCCCGATGGGACGCAGGGCGACAGCTGAGCACCTGCAGGCGACAGACAAGAGCCGAGTCCAGGTGTCCTGCAGAACTCTGGCCAAGCTCACTAGCTGGAAGCACCAGGTACTGCAAAGGGCAGGGGAGAGGCAAACGTAGTATTTGAAAGTAGCTATAAGACCCTCTCAGATCCTCACCCTCTGACCTCACAGTCAGACAAGCAGCTCATAGGAGAAGGTTTATTCTCTGGTGTAATTAAGCCAGAAAGGCTCAGGAGTTGGGGACACCAAGCCCCATGGAGGACAGGGTTTGGTGAAAACAGAGATTAAGCTTGAGTCCACACAGGATGCTAGTACCCCTCTTCCCATGCCCCCAGGACCTCTCCACCGCGTAAAGGGCCCCAGAATCCAATTTACAGCCCTCAGGCAAGAGATCAGGATGAAAGCTAGGCTTCCCCAGATGGGGGCCCCATGCAAACGTTAATCTGCTATCCAAGGGAGCAATGTTTTCAAAGCTGTGAATCAATAAAGACCAAGGGTAGAATAAGGCATTTTCAGATCTACATGTCTCAAATTTACCTCCCATTCACTTTTTTTAGGAAGCTACTAGAGGAAGGAGGGAGTCATGAGGTCCAGGAGCAAGGGACCCAACCTGGAGAGTGGTGAAGGACACTCCCGAGATGATAGTTGTGCACCCACACCAGAGAGCAGCAGACCCCAGACGGAGGGCCGGGAGGGAGGCCACTGGAAACAGAACAGAACAGAACCGACAGACTGGCTGAATCACTGGACCATGTGAAAACCCTGGAGAGGTATTTGAAAGATGTGGGAAGAACTGGTGATAGTTACGTGGAAATCCAAGCAATAGGAAGAACAAAGCAACGATTAACCATAGGAAAAAGAATTCTTCATACAAATTAGGGGAATCTAATCAAAGGGCACTACTGAACTAGCAGGAAACAACAGTTGTCATAATAATATAGGCACAGAATCATTGTCACCCAAAGTTAAGGTATAAATGCTGTGAGGTCAGGGGACAAAGGGGAATGGTGAATGCTAGAAATATAAGAACTAAATCCTTATCTTTATAACAGAAAATGAGTAAGGTCTAACACTGATAAGTCAAGACATCACCATATAAGCATGGTATTTAGAAACCTGGTCATATAGACCAGGAGAAAAAACTGACAATGAAGGTGATTTTCCACGTATGACGATGAGAGGGCAGAGGCTGTCCACGCATGACGATGAGGGCTGTGGCTGTCCACCCGTGACGATGACAGGGCAGTGGCTGCAACTGCCACATTTCACTGTAACTCTTAATACATTCATCTTTTATATTTATTTATTTATCCTCACCTGAGGACATTTTTCCATTTTTTGTTCAGACAGAGTGGGAGGGAGAGAGAGGAAAAGAGAGGGAAACATCGACGTGAAAGGGACACATCGAGTGGTTGCCACCCACACAACCAACCAGGGCCGGGGACAAACTGCAATTGAGGTACATGCCCTTAGCGGGAACCGAACCCGAGTCTCTCTGGAACGCAGGCCGACGCTCTAACCGTTGAGCCAAACCAGCCAAGGCAATACTTTCATCTTTTAGAAATATATTGTAGCCCTGGCTGGTTTGGCTCAGCAGTTAGAGCGTCGGCCCACGGACCCGAGAGTCCCGGGTTTGGTTCCCGCTAAGGGCATGTACCTCAATTGCAGTTTGTTCCCGGCCCCAGTTGGGTTATGTGGGTGGCAGCCACTCGATGTGATTCCCTCACATCAATATTTCTCTGTCTTCCTTCCTCTCTCCCTCCCGCTCTATCAGAAGATAAATGCAAAAATGTCTTCGGGTGAGGATAAAAAAAAAAAAAAAATTTTATATATATATATATATATATATATATATATATATATAGTGTGTTGATGACAATATAAAATATTCAGAAAAGTCAATATCAAAGAAAATGTCTAGCATCTCATAAGGCTATTCTTACTTCCCTTCCCCACTTCACACCACAGTTAACAATACTCTTCTGCTGTACTTGAAAGACAGATTCTTAGTCCCCACCCGACCTGCTCGGGCAGAAACAGCGAGGCTGGGCTGCAGCACTTGGCATTTTAAGCAGCTGGCCAGGTGACTCTGATGCTTGTTTAAGACTGAGAACTGCTGAGACAGAGGACAAGTGGGATCTGGAATCAGAAGACCCAGAGTGTACCCCCACCACCACCAACTATCTGTGTGGCCTCAGGCAGATCCTGCACCTCTGAGTATTGATTTCCTTGTGTGTTAAATGACAATGTTGGCTGAGATGACTAATGAGAACCCTTTTAGCTCTAGCTTATGATTTTTTAACTTTTGATAGCTTACTTATAATAATGCCCCAATGCTCTAAAATCAGCTTCAATTAATTATATGATTAAAATGATTCAATGCCCAATTCCAACTACAGATTGGGGGGAGAGGTGTTCCTCACACAACTAAGCAATTTCCCAACACCACTCAGTGTCCTACAATTAAACTGAATTTTGACACTATCTACCTAAGATAGCATCAGATTCCACAGGTTAATGGCTCAGATTCCTGCAAAACTGCCCGCCCCCATGTCAGATGCCAGTCAGAGTCCAGGCTGTCACCTGTGCTTCTGACTAACTGGCTCTAGATCCGAGTTTCAGAAGATCTCCTCCTTGACTTTGAATAATTTGCTAGAGCGGCTGACACAACCCAGAGAAACATATTACGTACTAGATGACTAATTTATTGTAAAATGCTACGACTCAGGGACAGCCATATGGAGGAGATTCACAGGGAAGGTATGGGAAAACAGCTCTGTAAGCTTGCAACTCTCCCCGACTCTCCCCCTGTTCACCAACCTAGAAGCTGGCCAAACCCTGTGCTTTTGGGTTTATATGGAGGCTTCATTATTGACATGGGCATGTTGATTAAATCATTGGCCACTGGTGATTAAACTCAATCCCCAGCCCCTTCCCCTCCCTGGAGGTCAGGGTGGGACTAAAAGTTCTGATTCTCTAATCACCTGGTTGGTTCTCCTAGCAACCAGCCCCCTCCTAGGTGCTTTCCCAAAGCCACCTTTACACTCTCGTCACTTGTGAAATTCTAAGGGATTTAGGAGCTCTGTGCCAGAAAAGGGAATGAAGATCAAATACATATTTCTTATTATAAATCACAGTATCACAATGACACGTGTTAAGCTTTTCAAAGTATAATAGACAGTAAAGAGAGGAGTGTTTGATGAAGGCAGACACTACTTACTGCTTTTTTATCAGGTTGGCTGTCATCATAGCCAGTGGTAAGGTCCCTAATGCCAGAAATTTCAAATCTACCGCAAGTTTTTGGATAATTATTCTTCCCATCGTAGTTTCTCAGGTTTTCAAATAATTTTTTAATGGTGTCTTGATCATGGCAGATAAAATATGAAGCTTTGGTAATATGGTAGCCATACCTATCAAAACAAACACATGCAAAATGCGGAGCAAATAATTCTGCATCGTGTATATAGAACATCAACTAGTATATTCTAAAATATTTAATGAAACAAATGACCAGGACTAGCTTCAAAGGAATAATTTAGCAATAAAAAAGGGGTACAATGATTTACCCCAGGGACCACCAAACTGCTACCTTGCCTTCAGCGTATATTTGTAAGTAAAAGTTTTACTAGCGCAGCCACACCACACCCATTACATTATGTATTGTGGCTGGCTGCTTTTGCACTACAAAGGCAGAGCGGAGGAATGGCTAAAACAGACTAACTAGATGTTTCATGAATACATTTAATGTTTTTTGGCATCAGACACTTAAAATCACATTCTGCATCACATTCTCATTTAGTCAAGACTAATGCCATCACACATGGTAATTACTATTACGTGGTTATGTATCAAAAGGAAAAGATAATCTCTTGTTTCATTTTCATAAGAAATAGAATTCACAACTAAAGAGCATTAGAAAGAATATTAGTATCTCATACACAAGAACATATTGCATTTAAAATATCACCCCGTATGGTGATACATATATCAAATCATTACATTGTACACCTGTAACTAATAAAAACATATTACTTCAATTAAACAGATGCAATAGAAACTTACTCAACATAGATGGCCTTCAGCTGCTGAGACAAAGACAAATTTTTAGTTGCTAGAAAGCTAGCCATCTCTGCACTGATGACAGCCGCACTGACTCCATCTTTGTCCAGAACAAAAGGGCAGCACATATATCCTGCAGAGACACGTGTCAGACACGCACACTTAGGGTGGGTTCCTTTAACACGGTGCGTGCACATATCTATGTGCACCACACCTACCGCATGAGGGTTTGCACAGTATGAGTACGTGGACGCTTCTCACTTACCATTATATTTAAGAATCTAGCCCAGGGCCTACCATGTAGCAGGCCTTCAAAAAGTATTTGCTGAGTAAACCTGTAATGAGTCTTCCTCCTCGACAGATAGTGCTCATTTCCTAGGTCCAGCCCAAATTCCTCCAGCTCCCACGGAATTGTTTCTAATTGTTCTATTCAAGGTTGACTCTGTCTTCTCTGAATGTTCTAGTTCTTGGGATGTACATTATTCACCCTGACATCCAGCCTAGCCTCTTCTGTGTGGTTATTTAACTAGATCCTTAGAAGCTGCTGCAGGCTGAGGTCAGTGTCCATTGCTTTTGGAATCACTGTGTAACTGATATGCAATAAATATCTGATAAAGCAATGTAAAATGTTTTACTAAAAAGCTGCCAGTTTTCACAACAAAGGGTCGAAGCTGAGCAATTCCACTTCATTTGATTAATCAGTAAAATCTGATCTGTGCTGCAGGAAATATCCAGATGAATAATCAGAAGAATACATATTAAAGTACAATGTGCCATAGCTTTTACTGAAGGAATAGCTAAAATATCCCCACAAACATCTGAATGTCAGGTTTCTAGCTCACTCTCCTTTCTGCTCATTTCGATCGACAGTTTATGATGAGTGTTTTCTGTTATTCTGCTGGGCTTGGGGTCGTCCTTCCAGGAGACCATCACTTTGACGAAGGCTCCACAACCGTGCCTTCTCCTCCTTCCCTCTGGACAGACCCCAGAGCACTTTGGGAGGAGGCGCGAACTAATCAGACCTGGCTATCCACGCCACATTGAGGGAACATCACGGCTCCCCAGATATGTGGATTCTTAAGCTACCAGCAGCCACGTGCGGAACATCAATGTTTCCAGTCATCTGGAAGAAGGATTCACTTTCTCACGTGAATAACTTGGTTACTGCGAGATATTCTTTTTAGCCGAAAGAAATCTGAAAGGCCAACTTAGGCGTAGGACAGCCCAACGCTCCTCAAACACCACAGAAGCAAAGCACACTGCATGCTCCTGTTTCGCGTTAATTTACGGAACCCACGTCCAGATGCACACCTTTCCCCATGTACCTGCATTCTACATATCAGCGATCTATTATCATCCTACCACCTCTTACCGATAGCTTCTTCAAATGCAAATAAGACATTTTTCCCCTGGTCTATTAGCTGTTTGGCTCGGTTTCCCATCCACTTAAAGCCAGTTAATGTTTCCTAAAGGGACAATCCAAAAGAGAAAGACATACCTTAGACCGTCAACAGAGCAAAAGAAAGGGGAAAGACCATGTCTCCCAAACACCTTACCTCAAAGTGGAAACCCTCCTTTAAGGCAATGGCCCGCAAGATTTTGGAGGAGACAGTGCTGGACAACATGTATATGTCTTTGAGGGCGCTGGGATCTTGGTTCTTTTCTTTCCAAGAAGTAAACAGCCACCAGCCCAAAAGGGCCCCCAACTCATTGCCTGAAAACACTCTCCATTCACCACTGAAAGAAAAAACAACCCACGCACTGCTGTGATCTTCAGAGACACTGAGATGGGACAGTGAAGTCAAGCCAGGCTCAGAGTAGTTTCTGGAAGACTGTCCTTGTTCTTGTTTAAATAACTGGCCAGAACGGTGACTGCCACTTCACAAACAGTTGAGCAGTGACCACATCTCAGCCAGTTTGCCTAGACAAATAGCCAAACTCTGAAGAGCATATACAAGTCTGTCGGTGATGACATAATTCTTTTTCTCTTGGTCTTCAGCAAAGGCTGTTTTTAAACATAACAGAAATATGCTGATAAGCTCCCCCCAAGCATAATAGTGTGCACATCTTAATTGTAGGTCAGGCTTGTTGCATCCTGAGGGCAACAGCTCAGCATTCCTGAGACTGAGCTCGGTGCTGAAATGTTGAGGAGGCCAGAAACACCGTGCGATTTATCTTCCTCTGTGTGGGTAGGAGGTCACCTCACATTTCAGCACGTATTACCTTAGCTTAAGGTTCTAAAAACTGATATAGAATTGAACCTTTTCTATCCTAATCTAAAACCGTAACCTTTTGGTAGCACCCCACTATCCCCTACACATCACATATGCTCTTTGACACCCTAAACTGCTTGAACCCCGACTTTCAACGCCCGCCCCCCGACTCCGCTCTACAAACCCCACAGTCCAACCTGCCCTAGACACTGTCAGGACTCCGCAGGTGTTCCTTTCAACCTGCTCAACCTAAGTTCAACACTTCCTTGAAGGTCAGCTCCTTACTAAACTCACTGGCAAATACAGAACTGTAAAACCAGCACTAAGCAAAGTATTTTGCCCTCATCAGCACTGAGTCATTAATTACAATAAAACCAATGATAAAGTTAGGGAAGATAACAGAGAGTAATTTCGATTCCAGGTTCATATTGGGCGGGTTACCCTGCATTATACCCGCAGAGTGACGGTGTGGCCCGGTAATCAGCACCTTGCTCTATGCTGGAGGCTCAACAGAAATTCAGTGAGACGATCATTTGCAAAGTAAATGGGAAATCTTTCCAAACAGGTCCAGTCTCTCCAGAAACATGTTACTGCCCAAGATGTCACTCTTTATATTTTCCATAATGTAGGTAATCACAATTAATTTTTACCTGTCTTGCTTTTCTGCCACAGCAAGTCTATCAGCATCCGGGTCATTGGCTAAAATGACCTTGGCCTTGATTTTGTCAGCCAAAGCAAAAGACAAAGTCTGAAAAAGAGCAGACAGAGAAAAGAATACTTCAACCAAGAGTCAAGCATACTGCGGTCTTTAGAAACGTTCAGTTAAGAATTCAAAGAGAATTTCCCCCAAACTAAGGCTGAACTTTATTTTTGGAGCTGGTCGTGGCTGGCCAGGTATTCCCTCCTAAGCCAGGTCGGATAATGAGAGCAACAGCCACGACCTGAGCCTGCCCCTGGGATTCACCCCACATCTGAGAGTGTGTGTGCGCTCGGACTGGTGCTTCCAGGCTCCAACCAAAATAAACGGACTCTCTGAATATCATCGTTACCCTATCCTTTAAAAAGGCTGAAGGAGCCTGGCCGGTGTGGCTCAGTGGTTGAGAGTCGACCCATTCACCAAGAAGTCACCGGTTTGATTCCTGGTCACGGCACATACCCAGTCGAGGGCATGCAGATGGTGGCCAATCAATGTTCTCTCTTGTCGATGTTTCTCTCTCACATCAATAAAGGAAAAAAACCAAAAAGGCTGAAGGAACCTTAATTTATATAGCACCTCTTCATGTCAGAAAAATGACAATTAAGGAATAAAAATCATGGGATAAACTTCCATTCTATTAGTTTCTTTTTGGCATTAAGGAAGCACAGTGACTTAAATGTAAATTTAATTAAGTTAAAGTTAGAACATTTAGATTTCAGCTCTCATATCCTGATGCTAAAACATCTAATTTGAAAGTTTCCTTAAGAAATGGACAGTTGAGCCCTGGCCGGTTTGGCTCAGCAGTTAGAGCGTCGGCCTGTGGTCCCGAGAGACCCGGGTTCGGTTCCCGCTAAGGGCATGTACCTCAGTTGCAGTTTGTCCCCGGCCCTGGTTGGGTTGTGCGGGTGGCAACTATTCGATGTGTCCCTTTCACATCGATGTTTCTCTCTCTCTCTCTCTCCCTCCCACTCTATCTGAACAAAATATCCAAAAATGTCCTCAGGTGAGGATAAAAAAAAAAACTAAAAAAAAAAAAAAAAAGAAATGGACAGTTGAGCCCTGGCCGGTTTGGTTCAGTGGTTGGAGTGTCGGTCTGTGGACCAGAGTCCCGGGTTCGGTTCCCTCTAGGGGCACATACAAAAAATAAAAATAAATATGTTAAAAAAAAAAAAGAAATGGATGGTTGATTAATAAATATAAATATTTCCAATGATGAGATTATTTTTGTTTAGTGCAATGAAAGCCCATAAAAACATATTTTACTTGATAGTCATAGTTATGAATATGAGAGGTAAATTTTATAATTAAAAAGAGTAGGTTACCAAGACACCTTTACCCTCTTCGGGATTCGGGTATTTCACTGTCGGGAACGCAGGATCTGGGTCTTTCTGTTCGGGAACAGCCTCAGGAGGGACAAGGTCAAACGCCCTGAAAGCCGACTGCACAAAGGTATGCCCCACGCCATGGACAGAGGTGTGGACAAACTTCACCTTGGACTCCCTGTTCACACTCCTGGAATCAGACACATCACAGGAAAGGATAAAATACACAAGCATGACTTTCAAAACTAGAAGGTTTGAAAAACATCAAAGAACCAGATCCCTACAAATGCAAGACATCAATGTAATACAAATGTATAAGACAACCAAGGATCTTTCTAATTCCATGAAAAAATAAATAAAACGGAACTTACCCACTCTCTCCCAAATATAATACCCTTCTCCCAAAATATTTAAGTTTTAAATTTTACTCTGTAGTTATTTTCAGCAAGTCTGATTACTGTCAGAGTTTGTTTCATGATACAACATTCACACCGACAGTGGGTTAAAAGAAAGAGCCCTGGGCTCAGGCTCCAGCCTACAGCAATTATTTGACATGTAATAAACACTTAATTAGTATTAGCAATTGTTTGATGAAAGCAATATTTCTGATTGGTCAAAGAAGGATAGATTCTTCAATTTAATATGTTGGTACAACTGCAAACCTTTTTAAAAATTTTAATTCATTTCAGAGAGAGTAAGGGAGAAGGGGAGAGATAGAGAAAAATTGAGAGAGAAACACTGATCGGCTGCCTCCTGCATGCCCCCTACTGGGGATCAAGCCCAACACCAGACATGTGTCCTGACCAGGAATTGAACCAGTGACCTCTCAGTGCATGGGATGATGCTCAACCAAATAACTGAGCCACACTGGCTGGGCCCAACTGCAAACCTTTTAGGAAAAAAAACAATTTGCCTTCCTACTTCACATCTCATACAAAATTAAAAATCACCAATGACTCAAAGGATTTAGACATTATAAAATGTATATAAGCAAGTACAAAAAAACGGGGAGATTTTTAAAAATAATCATGGTGTAAAGAAAGTGTTCTTAAGTATGACACAAAACCCAGAACTCATAAATTAAAAAACTGATAAACATCAAATTTTTACAAAGTTCAGTAAATAGATTCAATGAGAAAGTCTAAAGGTAACAATGGAAAGGAAAATAATATTTGAAAATAATGAAGTCTAGTTTTCTATGTAAGCAGAGATTTCACAAATGCAAAAGATGAACAAATACACAGAAAAACATAGGTTAAATAAATATGAAAAAGTAGCTTATTTATAAGAATGCAAATAAAGTGAGATACTATTTTCATCTAGCAAATTAGGAAACACAAGCAATCTGATAATACTCACTATTGATGGGAGTGTCAACTAGTGTAATAATATGTTTGGAGAGCAATTTATAAACCACTATCAACTTAGTAAATGCATATGCAATTCTGATGCCAGAAACGTACTTGAGGATACCCATGGAAATGTGTATCCTTAGACTCAGACACACACACACATAAACATCCACACACACATATACACATGTACTCCAGTAATTGTTCAAGAGCTCCTTGGAGAAGCCCAAAACAGGAAATCCTCAGTCTTTCATATTTTTTATTTTTTTATCCTCACCCAAGGATATGCTTACAGGGAAAGAGGAAGCCAGGAGAGAGAGAGAGCGGGAGAGAAACATCGATGTGGGAGAGAAACATTGATTGGTGCCTTCCATATGTGCCCTGACTGGAGACTGAACCCTCAACCTAGGTATATGCCTTGACTGGGAATCCAACTGGCAACCTTTCAGTGCACAGGACGGTGCTCAACCACTGGAGGGTGGAAACCCTTAGTCTTCGTGAAGTTGAATCAGAGGGACAGAAGGAAGGCTTGAAAAAGTGTTTTATTTGCTCCCAACATTTAAAAATAAGAAGATTCCACAAGCAAAACCTAGGTTTCCAGTTCCTTTTAGGAAGAAAAAAATCAGATGACCTGGCAAGTCCAGAAGACATTTGCACGTGGCAGCACCCAGCAGCGAGGCTTTTCCCTCAGATGGGACTGGGGTTCCACACACGACACAGGAGCTTCGCTCCCCAGGGGTCAGATAAATACAGAAATGGAGACAACCTAGAAATTTCACTCCTTTATCATTAGCGCTTTCTGGCCAGGGGGACAATCTGCAGTGGTGGGGCCCACAGCACACTACATAGAAGGACAACACTGTGACTCAGCTCGTCTGCTTGTTATTTCGTGGTAATGACTAGTCTGTGTTACTGGGTTAGATAAACGGGCAGAGCAGACATGACAGAAACAAGTGTCAGGACTCACAGGCGCTAACAGGAGAAGGAATCGGTGACGAATGAACTGGGAGAGAAAAGGCAGAGAAGGAACGACACACACAGTGCATTGATGGTTTTGAAACATAGTACACATGTAGTTGCTTGCATAGGCACAGAAAACTTCTGGAGAGATTTTAAAAGTCAGTGTTTCCGCCCTGGCCGGTTTGGCTCAGCGATTAGAGCGTCGGCCTGCGGTCCGGAGAGACCCGGGTTCGGTTCCCGCTAAGGGCACGTACCTCGGTTGCAGTTTGTCCCTGGCCCTGGTTGGTCATGCGGGTGGCAGCCACTCGATGTGTCCCTTCACATCGATGTTTCCCTCTCTCTCTCTCTTCCCCTCTCTCCCTCCCACTCTTATCTGTACAAAAAATGGAAAAATGTCCTCGGGTGAGGATAAAAAAAAAAAAAAAAAAAGTCAGGGTTTCCAATTCATCACCTTTCAGCAAGTTTTTTATATACGTACACACACCTATGCACACACACACATACACACTCACATACATATATATGAGTCTAGAACAGAGGTCAGCAAATTGTGACCTATGGGCCAGCCACCTGCTTTTGTAAATAAGTTTTTTTTTAACACAGCTATGTTTGCACTCATTCATTTACACATCATGTATGGCTGCTTTCCTATGACAGCAGAGTTGGGTAGTTGCCACATAGTCTATACAGCTCTCAAAGCCAAAAAAACGCATTATCTGTCTTTTTAAGAAAAGTTACCAATCCCCGATCTATAGCCTGTGAAATCAGATGCAGCTCCGGTATACGTACCAGTTCAAGTGAAAACAGGTAGAATCTGGCTAAATCACATGAACCGAAATCCCCTGAGGTGAGTTTGCAATCCATTTACCTGTGAAAGCAGTATTTTTTAAGGTCTTCATAGTAGTCCTTGGTGACGGAGGCACTCGGGTCATGCAGAAGCGGACTGCCATTGATTACAGAATCATCCCAAGCTTGAGGCCACGGCTCTAGATTGTCTTCGATAGCCTGAGAAATCCCTTTGTCATGAGGAGGGGTGATCTGAGCTCCGTTATCCCAATAGACCTGCAGAGTGCAGGGACATATCCAGACAGTTGAGGGTTAATGGGAACGCATCCATTCCCTGTGTTCCCAAACTGTTAAGGTTTAGGGTTCATATAGAAGGACATATACGTAAAGAGGAAAATAAAAGTACCTTATAACCATTATCTTGCTTCGGATTGTGGGAGGCAGTTACCATGATCCCAGCACAAAGTTTCAAATGCGACACTGTGTAGGGCTGTGACAATGGGAAACGAAGTTTTAAACAAGCACATTAGGTATGGTTAAAACATCTCTCGTATGTTGTTTGCACCCATTTGTTCTCTTTTAAAAAACATAACATATAACCATAGTAACTCAATATCGTTGTGCTGCACCCGAGCAGTACACACTTATTACCCTTAGAACTAACTCACTGCTCAAAATTCTGGGACAGGTACCGAATGAGAAAGATTTCCTAGGTGCCTTCTCACTGTCTTCTACTTGGTAGGGCCAGAAAACTCGCCAAACCGTAAGACGGTCTAATCTCCCGCTGCACATTCTTTTAAGCCTCCTTCTTGAGGCAGAAGCTTATAGATTCAGTTTATCGCCTCCAACTGCTGTCTCTTCTCTTCTTTCCCCCTACCTACTTTTACGGAAACTATGTCTTGCTCATCTATCTTTCCATACAGAATAGAATCCCTCCCCTATACTTCTACTTAGCTCCCCTCTTCATGAGACTACTTCTCGAAATGGGGAGAAGGGTAGGCTTGTCCCCTCTGCGGCTGCACATGGGATTTACCACACACACGCAGCCCGAGAGTCTCTCCATCTATCCCCGCCGCCCTCCCACGAAGCATCGCTGTGGCTATTTGTCCCCTTCGGAGTTATTTCACATCCCCTATGTGTCCTAGAGCAAAGAGAAATACTAAGTATTTGATTAAAAAAAAAAAAAAAAACTTACACATGCCAAGCACACTTTCTGTACTGGCCACGAGTAATATTTAGAATGTACATTTACATAAAAAGCTGGCGCACCAACTTGTCAAAAATATTCCTGGAAAGACTTGGTTGGAGGGGAATTCAGATTTAGACATGAGAATTTTTCTAATTGTGATCGCTAGGGAAAAGAACTACAAATCAAAGGAAAAAACACACAAAAGACATTTTGCTAACTAGCTAAAATATCCTTTGAATGCAAGCGAATGAAAATGGCACTTAAAAAACATAAATTCTGATGAATCAGAAGTTGAATACCAGGGAAGAATCACTAAGGCGTGGGAGAAACGTCCTGGAGAGAAGAAAGGGTGCCCCGCAAACACCCGGAGCTCTTCTGTCCTTCGAATACTTGATTCCCAACAGCACTAACGCCTCTAAATTCAGCCATGTCCCACCCCCAACCCTGGGACGGGAAATTACAAATTACCAGTTACTTACCACCAGAGGGGTCGGGGTTATATCAGAAAACAGGTACACAGGAATCCCCTGAGTGATAAAGGTGGTTGCAGCAAGGCGGGCAAATCTGGAAAGGCAGTGTGACGGGGAGAAAGGAGAGCCGAGCTGTCAGGACCACGGGTGACAGTAAAGAGGGATATGAAGGCCTGGCCACTTCTTCAGCTCCAGCGTAGCAGCCAGATCAAGGAAAACACTAAAGTATTTCCCTTGGCACAGAACATTACAGCTGGAGGAACCTTGGGCGTCACCTCATTCTACCCCCGTTTTATAGAAATGGGACTAAAGCTGAGAAATGCCAGGTAACGTGTCTGGTGTCCAACAGCCACTTAGCAGCTGAGCCAGGCCTACACCCAAGTCTTTCAACACCTGGTCTATCTCAGCGGTTCTCTGCCGAGAGATTCTGCCCCCATGGGGCATCTGAACTGTCTGGAGACAGTTTTGGTAGGCACTGGAGGGGTAGGGGTAAGGTTCTACTGGGAGTTAGTGGGTATGGTCAGGGATGCTGCTTATGCGTGTTGTCGGTGATAGCAGCCCTGAGCGCCACTCCATCCCATCCCATCCAACTCTGGGACCTGAACCATAAATTTAAGTAGAATTAATAATATCAGTTACTTTTTAAAAATAATGCGGCTCCAAGGCCAGAGCAAGAAATACCTGTACCTTAATTGACAATGTTAACATATCTAAAAGGTGTGTCAACCAGAAACAGGTAGTCAACTTAAAATGAAGGAATCTGAGAAGTTAAACAGGCAGAGTTGGCCACATATACACACTGTACATGCTCTGGCTGGAGGACCTGACCTGCCCCTGGGGTCAGTGAAGCATGCGTATGATCTGGTTCTAACAGGAAGTTTATGAACTGAAAATTGACAAACTGATATTCTGGTCTGTACAACATCAGGCTCCTGTAAATGTGCATCTGTCCCTAGGAGCTACAGCTTCGCTCTTGCTTTGTTGGAAAAAAATCACATTTTTGAGCCTGCAACCGAAGATCAAAAATCTTAGGTCATCCTGAGTTCCTGGGGATTGATGTCATCTAGTCCCTGGTCCTAGCCATGTTCCCTTCCTTACAGCCGCACATTTGTTCCCATTAATGCTTCTCTCTTAGGCTACAGACTCTGTGAACTGATCCAGCACTGTAAAGTTCATGAGAGTTCATAGAGTATTCATTAATACTAAATATTTGTATGCTCTTCCAGTCTAAGAAACTACTAATACTTATACTCTGAAGTGATAAAAATAATTCATAATAGAGGGAGTAGTCAAGTAAAAATAAAATAAGGTCACATTACATGATTAAGACAGGGTTTTATCGGAACACTGCCATGCCCATTCAGCTACGTACTGTCTATGGCTGTTTTTGTGACAGTGTACAACCCACAATGTGTAAGATGTTTACTAGCTGCCCTTTAGAGGTGCCAACCTCTTTATGCTTAAATTGTGTCTCCTTCTTTCACTTTATGATCTTAGGGTAAAAAGGCTAAGGAGTTAACCATGCCTTAGAGGTTGTTGGGAGGATTAAAAGAGTAAATACTTAAGTGCCTAGCTCACAGTCAGCACTCAAGTGATTGTTATCCTATCATCATCACCATCACCACCACCACCACCACCACCACCACCACCACCACCACCACCATCACCATCATCATCACCACCATCATCACCATCACCACCACCACCACCATCATCACCATCACCACCACTACTGCCATCATCATCACTATCACCACCATCGCTATCACCACCACCACCATCATCACCATAACCATCACCACCACTACCACCACCACCATCACCACAATTGTCACCATCACCACCACCATTATCACCACCATCATCATCATTACCACCATCACCACTACCACCACCATCATCATCATCATCACCATCACCACCACTACCACCATCATCATCATCACCATCATCATCTTCCTACAGCTACATAAGAAAGAGTCTCCTTAGTTTGGGAATGTTACAAGAATATAGCTTGAAATGAACATTCAAGAATGAGAAGGAGCTCATGAGGCTTATGAGTAGTGGAAGAAAAAAATTTACATAAAAGGGAGAAAGTGAGAAATAAGGTTGCCACCTAAAAAATTTCTTTCATTTAGACATGCATTAATTTCAAAATTGCTGAAATAATCTAATTTTCTTAATCCAATCATAAAACCAGAATTCTTAAAAGTTACAAACAGAATTTACCCATCATTTTTTGCAGGTAAGCAATGTAGCTGACAAAATGTTTTTTGAAGGGAAGCTATTGATATGATGATTAAAAATAAAACCACCAAATACACTAGGAAGAAACGGCATATCTTTAAATACCTTCTGCTGCTGCCTCCACTTGCTGGGTGAGCTCGGGCATCAAAGCTGATCACAACACCTCTTTGCTTAAGGTCACTGAATTGTCTTTCCAGGTATCTGCAAAACCCCTAAAAAATACCCCATGGATTAAAAGAGTATAGATGTTTTAACACATCATGTGTGTATGATAAATTGGTCAATTTTTCTCTACTTGTAGCAGAGAGGGGAGAAATCTCTCTGTAATTAAACAAACTAAATAATAAGAAAACAAAAGCTTTAATTATTGTCAATCTATATGTATCAGGTACTATACTGCACACTTAACATCTAACATAACTAACCCCAGATCAACTTTGCCAAGAAGTGCCATTTTACAAACGGGAAGACTAAGGCTCAGAGAAGCTCAGTGACTTGCCCAAGACACACGAGTAGCAGAGCCTGGATCTGTTCCCCAGGTCTGGTTAGAGGTGGTTCAGTGCTGGGTTAAAAGCACACAGTGTCTGTGGGTTTGGACTCCACTCGGCCATCTATGAGCAAATAAGTTCCTTAATCTCTTGGTGCCTCAGTTTCCTCTTCTGTGAAACAGGAATAACAATAGTACCTACCTCAACAGGCTGTTACAAGGATTGAAGAAGTAAAATATGCCAAGTGCTGAGACTCTAACACCAAGAAAGCACTATGTATTGCTGTTAGAAGCATTATTTTTATTATTTTCCTTTAATGCCTATACTCTCTCTTTTACATTAGTCCTAAGTGCCTGAGGACAGGGGAGTGTTTCAGATATTTCTGCCTGCTCTGTACCAGCAGCAGATGAAAGAGACTCAATACAGTTTATAAGATTTTGACAACTGACGAATCTAAACATGTTCTGTCAGTTTGTGATACTGTTTTTCAGCAGGTAGAGGTCTTAAGAAGGCCATATCAGTCCAATTACATGACATAGCCAATTATACAAATAAAATGTACGCAGAATTTGGGCAAGTACACCTGCCTAGAAATGATAAAATACACAACTCCTGTATCACAGTGGGTACCATAACATCACTTCAATCTGAAATACAGAAGATGAGAAAACAGTGACCTTTGAATTCAACAGGTTTAGAATATTGGATAAAACAGATATTATCACAGCACAAAGAGAACAAAGTTTGATTGGGTCATAATGATGGTTCAAAATACTTATTTCACTTTGGCTGAAGGAAATCATTTTTGGTATGGAGGATACCTCACAACTTTGTTGCCAGAGCAGGGTCCATTTAGAATGTCTTCAGTTTTTCCTGGACAGAAATGTTGCACTGGGCATATCTTCTGAGGTTGAGTGACACAAAGAAATAAGGACACGTGTGTATTGGTTTTGTGGGTTTCCCAGAAGGAAATGAGATGTTCACACTCCAAAGTTTACAACAGTGACAGCACCCCATCCCTGGTCAACTCCGGTGCTGTGGCCCCAAAGTTCAAGGGGGCAAAAAGCATCCAGTCTTAGTCCAAAATCCCCACATCTCCAAATTGTTCGGAAAGACTGGATCCTGCTGAGGCTGAGGACCAGAGAGAATGACTAAGAAAAGACTCAGTGCAGGAATTGAAATATTACCCTAGGTCATAGGAAATAAACTTTGTATGGCTTCAAAAGGTCCAACTGACCGATATGTAAAAGCTACAGAAAGACAGATTTTGACTCAAAATAATGAAACCATTCTTTTTTTTTTTTTAATCCTCACCCGAGGACATTTTTCCATTTTTTGTTCAGGTAGAGTGGAGGGGGGGGAGAGGTACAGAGAGAGAGAGAAACATCGATGTGAAAGGGACACATCGAGTGGCTGCCACCCGCACAACCGACCAGGGCCGGGGACAAACTGCAACCGAGGTACGCGCCCCCAGCGGGAACCGAACCCGGGTCTCTCAGGACCGCAGGCCGACGCTCTAACCGCTGAGCCAAACCGGCCAGGGCGTGAAACCATTCTTTAATGACAACGGTCCAAATACAGAATGGCTATTTCCCCATCACTGATGTCTCGTGGCTCAGTTAAGTAACCGAAGAGGAAATTATAACCTCTATGAATGAGGCAAACAATACAAAAATCTCCCTCCACTCTTTATCCTGTTTCCCACTGGGGTGTTCTCGACTCACATACATCTGCTTCTTAAATCCAGCCAGATGAATTTAAGGGCACCAATAGGAGAGTCCAGGCCAGAGACCAGCAGGCAGGGTGCCGAGGCCACAGTGAAAGCCAGCGCATTCTGCCGGGTCACACTACCCAAGGCTGGGGGTGGACGCCTGGGGTGTGTGTCCTGGGAATCCTTTCCCTCTGATCTGGAATCACTCCTAAGATTTGTAGAATGCCTGCTACTCTCATAACACTGTCTTACTCTTAACATCCTTGCCTCCTATTGTAAGTGTCGCGATGCAGGCTGGATGACCACTTTAGAGTGGAAGGGACTGTGGGGAAATTATCCCAAGGGTAGCTGATTGTATGAGATGACCTTTAAGGGATATACTCATCTTCATGTTGTAGGCTTCTTGGCTATCACAGCTCCTAGTCCCAGAAGAGACCAATTCCTCTAGGGAAGAGGAGCTATGAGATAGGTGCAAGATCTTCCTGGGGATAGACTGTGTCATTCCTACAAACTAGATGAAGATGAACGCAGGAGAAAAGACTCTGCTCGTTGAGAAGCCCACAGAATCCCCTGCAATGAGGCCTAACTGGAGGTGTGACCAACTGGATTTTCCAAAGATGGCCACACCAATATATCCCATCGCACATGCTTCTCTCCTGTGCCTCTGATGTTCTACAGTAAGATGTGGGTGTCCATGTACCCTCTCCTTCAATATGAGCAGCCTTACTGACTTCCTTTTAACAAATACAATACGGTGGAAGAAAGTGATTTTGGGTGACTTTCAAGGTGAGAGTCAATACAGCCTCTACCTGGCACACACACTCTCTCTAGATGCCATCCCAAGTCCCATGTTGTAAGGAAGCCCAGGCCACAGGTAGTGGTCCAGCCCCAGCTAAGATCTCAGCCAAGAGCCAGCAGTAACTGCAGACATGTGAGTGAGGGACCTTTCAGACGTTTCCAGGTGCCTACCTGCCCCAGGTGATGCCATGTGTAGCGGAGAGTAACGGTCTCCACTGAGCTTCACCCACATTACAGATCTGTGAGCAAAATAAGCTGTTTAAAATCACTGTTTTGGGTGATTTGTCCTACATCCCTAATAACTTGCCTTATTACAGTTTTGCTATGTGTCCAACTGCCTTTCATGGCGTACATGTGAGGGACATGTAATCACCTAGTCCATCTTTCCAGCCTTTTCTTTCCCGGAGTTAAAGTGACCTTCATGTTTCACAAGTCTAAGTAGTTAAAGAGACAGAAAAATCTGTTCTCCTTCATTTCCCTCATAAACAGCTCTTCTGTTTTGTAAAAGGCTTCATCTCTATTCCTAAAAGTTGGGTCTAGACTGACAGGAAAGTTCACAAAGGCAGGCAAGGGAATTGGGCAATAACTTCCACCCACACTGTACGTTAAACCTGAGCAGAAGTGGCTCTCAGTAATTCTGGCAGCCAGAAAAGCTGTTCAGTGCTTGCACCTGTACATAGCAAGCACCAGGAGACCAGCGGAGTCAGCTTAGTTGGTGAACTTGCACTGGAATGAAAGATCCATGAGTCCATTTCAGTCATTACTCCCAATGTCTGGCACATAGCAGGCACTCAATAAATCTCTATTAAATGAATGAATGAATGAATGGCTATAGGAGTTCTGAAACAAGAGACTGCCTCAGCCAACTGTGCAAGCCTTACTTTATGGAGTAAATGTGTGACTCCTTGTGCCTAAACAAACCCACAAGACCTGGCCGTAATTAAAACAAATTAGGCCTGCCAAATACAAAGAGAGCGTGGGGCTAAATTAACCAAACAAGAAGGCCACTAGACTGAGGTGGCTTTAATGCCTTAGTAGCCTAAGTAAGCAACCAAAACCTGTTAAGCAAACCAAAACCTAAGCTAGTAAATGACTCAAGGTTAAGAAATCAAAACCTAGGGACAACCAACCACAAATAGTAAGCTAGGCTTCAGCAAATACTGTAACTGCTTGAGCTATAGCCAATCTACTACTTTCCTTCTGCTGTTTCTCAATAAAAGTCTTTCTCCTAGCTCCTGGCAGGGGAGAGCTTCTAACCATTTCCAGCTTGGTATTGCCCAATGCAAATAGATTTTTGCTCAGATAAACAAACTCTTAAAATTTTTAATATGCCTCAGTTTATCTTTTAACGCTGGGGGTATATTAAGAAGAACTAAGACATATAAAAATGTGGTACCTGTGTAGTCTGGATGATGGTCAAGTCGTTCATACGAGCAATCCCTGCTCCCATAGCGGCTCGGAGGCCAGCTGTCCCAAACTCCATGCGCGACCCGAAGCATTTCTGCAGTTCTTCTTTATTGCCTTCTGCAATGAGTTGTTTCACTGACTCCAAAGTTAAAGGATTCTGCAAAACACACATATATACACCAGATACAGACAGGTGCAAAACAGAATGAAGAATCTGTAATATAAAAAACCAACAATAATTCTACCCTGGGGATGGAACATATATATATCATATATATAGATTTTCCTATATTACAGTATTTTAATGCTTTGGAAATATAAAGTTATTTTTTATTATGACTGATATCGTGATTAATAATATATAGTATTTGGTCTTTCCCTTTATAATGTAAGTATTTTCTATCCTACCAAGGCAAGCAATTTTGGAAAAATGGAATAAACTTATAGGTTTGGGGGTCTAATACCCAGAATGGAATCTCAGCCACACTGCTACCCACCAACTCTGTTCATTTGGGTGAACAGTCTAGAAAGTTCTTTACAAAATGGTTTTGAGGTTGTTTACATTAAATTCATTAAATTAATGTAAAACATCTTTCTCTGCCTGGCACTTGTTCAAATGCTCATTTTCAAATGTTCATTTTCTTCCCTAATGTCTTCAAATTTTCCCAGAGTGAAAGATTATACAATTTAAATCAAAATCTTCTTTTTTTTGTAATGTTTTATAACTTGTACAATGATTTCACATACCTGGTCAAATTTGAATCCTGTAATGATTTCACCAGGCAGACAAACAACAAAAACCCCATTTTACAGATGGAGACACCTCAGAGATTAAGAGACTTGCTTAAACTACAGAATAAGCATGAATTTGGGGCTTTTTCTATTATATTCACTGCTTCAAATAGACATTATTCACATCGATCATTTCAGCTCCTTTTACACTGCCCTGTTTTTGTGTGTCTTTGTGTGTGTGTGTGTGTGTGTGTGTGTGTGTACAGCAGTTGCAGAAAGTGTTAAGAATGGAGAAAAACGACAATCACATTAATACCATGTCAGACATTTTAAATTAAGAATTCAGAAGAACAACAGAGTAAGTACTTTATTTCTAGTTTGCAGCCATCCTTTCACTTAGATGAACATGCAGGCAAGATGTGGCCACATAATTAAACTCTGAAATGTTATTACAATAAAACCTTGGCCTTCTGGAATTAAGACCGCATTTCAAGATTGTTCCAGGTTCAAGAGGAACCAAGTAAAAGCCCACCTTTTTTGTTAAAAGCAATAACCACTGACCACATAGCAATCTGACCAATCAGATCGGCAGGTGCCCCCAATGAAGGGCTCAGGTCTGGAACCTAAAAGAGATTCAATCAATATCTGCTGAGCGAATGAGAAACGGCAACTGCAAGGCCACATCCAATATCCGATTATTCTCCGTGTGGATGTGGAAAATCCTAATTGGCCTTTGGAATCCATAAAAGAACAACCTGAGAGATAAGAATGCAAAGTGGAGAGCGCAGCAGAGCGGAGAATCAGCTGTAGGAGTGACTGAAGCTGACAGGAGCTACAGGAAGAGGGTGGAGGCTCAATGGAAACGCAGGATGACCTGCCACCCTTGGGAGTTCAGCCCCTGAGGGCTGCAATGCTGTAAGCTAGCAGGAAGTTCCCCCTTGCTGCCTGTCTCCAACCAAAGTAGAAATTGGGGGAGGAAAGAAGAAGTGGTAGAAATTAAAAAATAAAAAGGACAGCATCCCCTCACCTCTACCCAGGCAGGTACCACCTCTCTATACAGATACATTTTATGGAAATAAGGTGTTTATTTCTTCAAAGGGAAAGTTTTATGGAACAATTCGTTACCATCTAAAAGATTTTTACACACTGCAAGTTACTAAGTTATCATAAATGGAGACAGTTTCCTTCCCTAAAGAACCACAAGGCTGCCCTGGCCGGTTTGGCTCAGCGGTTAGAGCGTCGGTCTGCGGTCCGGAGAGACCCGGGTTCGGTTCCCGCTAAGGGCACGTACCTTGGTTGCAGTTTGTCCCCAGCCCTGGTTGGGTCGTGTGGGTGGCAACCACTCGATGTGTCGCTTTCACGTCGATGTTTCTCTCTCTCTCTCTCCCTCTATCTGAACAAAATATCGAAAAATGTCCTCGGGTGAGGATAAAAAAAAAAAAAAAAGAACCACAAGGCTGTCTTTCCAGAAAAGGAAAACCACCCAGAGTTGCCAATAGCATCTAGAAACAGGATGTCCCCAGGCCAAAGGATAAAAGAGGGAGAAGGGAGACCTGGCCCTGCTGACAGGATGAAAAACAGGACCCCTTGTTCAACAATTTTTAAGAATTTCAAGACAGGACAACAGAGTAATTAAGCAAGTGGTGGGCCCTCCTAGGAGCAGGATCCTGTACAACTCCCATAGGATCTCATGCCTTTGAAGTCAGCCCTGAAGACAGACATTAAACAAATAAACCTACTAACAAGTTGTGTGTGTGTTTATTTTTAATTTTTATTTTTTACCAATAGCAGTAAGAACTATGAATGAAGAGCAGTCTTTTTAGGGAGAGTATTAGGGAGAAATAATTTACCCTCAGGAGCCAGGGAAGGCCTCCCTAACATAATCTACATTTAAATTCGGATCCAAAACATTAGTAACAACGTAAGATACAAGTTCAGCAGAAGTGAGCAGAGAACATTCCAAGAAAACAAATGGCACACAGGAAGGAACTAGCAGGATGCAGGAGACTCCAGCTAGAAAGGAGAGAGGGAGGCATGTCTGAGTTGGATTCACTCTTTGCTCCAGCATCTAAGGGAGTGAACAGGGCTAGGGTGCTGGGTCTAAGGGGTTCCCTCCCATCTTCTCAGCCAAGTCAGAGACTTGAGAAAGACGCCTTAAGTCAGGCGGGCGGAACCCGCGGACCCATGTGTAACCAAGCACCTGGGTGACGTGGATGGGAATGCTGGTCTGCAAAGTTCCCAGGGGCAAAGGAACAGGCGGGAGGGAACGATTCTGGGTGGGTAGAGGGTCCACACCCGACTGCAGAGGACGAGCCGGCGGTCAGAGTGACAGGAACGCGCGCGGTCCAACTAGCCAGGACGCCGGAGCCCGGGCGGGGTCGGGCCAACCCGGCTTTCTCGACTCCGGAACTTGCAGCCCCGGCCCGCCCGCTAGCTGGTTTAGGCCCGGGACAACCTTCCCCCGACAAACTCATGTGCCGCACGCCGGCCAGACCCAAGGAGGCCTGGCCGCCGCCGCGTCCTCCACGCCGTCTTCCCGTGGGAGGGGAAGCAGAAGGGAGCGCAGGCACCGGCGTTCGCCCGGGGAGCAGGCAGAGGCCCCCCACCTCCTCCGTGGCTCCCAGCCCCGCCGCTCCTCACCTTGTCCCACCGCAGCCACTGGGCTGTCTCCTGGTCCAGCCGGGCGTCCATGCTAGGGCCACTGCCTCCCGGAGCCGCCGCCGCCGCCGCCCCCACGCTGCCACCACCAAGTTCAGGAGGTGGCGATCGCGCCTTTCCGGCAGGGCGGGGAGGGGCGGGGCCGGACGCGGAGGGGCGGGGGCGGGGGCCGGGCGCGGAGGGGCGGGGCCCGCAGGACGACAGCTCGGCGGTGAGCACGCCCCGTGCAGTTCACCGGCGCGCCTCTAGGGGTAGCGGGCGGAGTAGACGAGAGGGTGGGGGTGAGGGTGCTGGGTCCTTCCCACCATCTCTGAAAAGGTCCCTAGGTCACCCCCATCTACACAACAGCTCTTCACTGAGTTCCTACTGTGCGCCAGGCACCGGTCAGGTGCTGGAATCCAAGGATGGGTAAACTCAGGACCCTAAAATGTAAGTAGAAATTGGGAAAGTCAAGAATAACCTAGAAAATTATTGTAAAAGGAGAACAAAGTAGGAGGAAGAAGATAGACGATGGAACAGAATGGAAAGTCCAAAAGCAAAACTTTACCTGTGTGGACAGCTTATTATTTCGGAGCAAGGGGACAGGACTCCCCCTCCCCCCAAGGAATGGTACAGGTTCAAGTGTATACCCATATAGAAAAAGAGAAAAAAAAACTTGAGCCTCTTGGTCATATCACATGCGAATATGCATTCCGGGTTCATTGTAGATCCAAACGTGAAAGGGAAAATGAAACTTCTAGAAAGGAGGAAAGGAGTCAGTCTTCATGACCTGGGGATCACTAAGCCATAAAGGAGATGCATGAAAAATCACGTGCAAGAATGTTTTTAGCAACATTATTTGTACTAGCCCCAAACTAGAAACAACCCAAAGGTCTATTGTGGTATATTCATACAGTGATATAAACAAAGTAAGGAATATTGACACAGGAATAAAATGAACTATTATGCACAGTACCATGGGTCAACCTTGTGGGAGACTTTTTGCATGGCGTCAATTTTGTTATAATCTGCTCTGCAATCGCCTGCCCCAAGGCAAGATATCTCTGCATTCTGCATTTCTTTATCTCTGCATTTTGCATTTCTTTAAGTAAGCATTTACGCAATAAGCCAGTCTTTGCTGACCTTTTGTTCCTTTGTAGTATTTCCTAGATTTGCTTCGGGCAAGCCTGGTGCTTGGCAACAGGTGCTTCTTGCCCTATATATTGTGTGAATTACCCCTGAATAAATGAGACTTGATCAGAACCCTGTCTTGTCTCCATTTCTCATGTCTCTTGTCCCTCCTCATCCTCACTCCCCCTCTAGAGTCCTTGTTGCTCGACCTGCGGGACGGGTCAAGGGGCACCCAACGTGGGGCTCCAGCACGGGGGATCCAGTGAAGGACGCCGTTCGAGTGGCCGGCAGGAAGGAAAGCAAAGGACCTGCGGGACGGGTCAAGGGGCACCCAACGTGGGGCTCCAGCACGGGGAATCCAGTGAAGGACGCCGTTCGAGTGGCCGGCAGGAAGGAAAGCAAAGGAAAAGAAAGGATTGTTTTTTCACGATTCCTCTGCATCCAGATGATCAGAGGCGATTTGCATTCAGCTTACCAGCTATAAATTTCAAAGCACCTATGAAAAGATTCCAATGGCGTGTTCTGCCACAGGGAATGGCTAATAGCCCTACCCTATGCCAATCCTTTGTGGCCTCAGCCTTACAATCAGTTAGAGACAATTGGCCAAATATGTACATTATACATTACATGGATGATATCCTCATAGCCGGGAAAGAGGGAAGCAAGGTTTTGAAATGCTATGAGATGATGCGCGTTGCCTTATGAGACAAAGGCCTGGAAATAGCCCCTGACAAGGTCCAACTCGCAGACCCTTATACATATCTTGGTTTTCAAATGCGAGGGTCCCTAATTTCATGTCAAAAATTAGAGCTAAAATTAGACAAGCTTAAAACCCTAAATGATTTCCAAAAGTTGCTAGGGGACATTAATTGGTTTATGCCCTATTTAAAAATCAGTAAAGGAGAACTTAAACCCCTGTATGATATACTGCATTTGGAGGTCCCACCGAGATCCACTCTCTCGGCGTCGGAAGAAGGAGGACGTCCACGACTGGTGAGTGAAACTGGCGGTGGCTGTCAGACAGGGACCCTTGTCCCTCCTGACTGCGACCGACAGACGTGTCAAGGGGTCGCAGGCCACGGCTCTGGGGGACGCCCCGGAGTGTTTGGACAACCAAGGACGCTTGGGAGTCCCTCTGCTGTCAAGTACAGGATCTGTATCTCTGTTGCCAGTTTCAACCCGAGCTCGTAGGTCCGGACCGATAGACATATTTTTGATTTCATTTTGCCGTTCTTTGACGCTGTCACACTGGTCAGACATAACTACCCGTGCTCACAACTTATCTCTTATAGTTAAGAAACGTAAATGGCAGACTTTCTGTGAATCCGAATGGCCAACCCTTGGTGTCGGTTGGCCCCCAGCCGGAACCTTCCACAAAGATACCATCCAAGCCATCAAGGCCGTCGTCTTCAGTCCCGGACCTGGGGGCCATCCAGATCAACAACCTTACATCTGTGTCTGGGAAGATTTAGCGGATGACCCTATGACCCTCTCCCCTGGGTTAAACCCTTTCTCCCTCCAGGCACCTCTTTCCTCCCCCTCTCCCTCTCTGCCCTTCCTGCCCCTCCTAAATCTGCGACACCTATGCTCCCACTCAAATCTCAGGAGCCGACAGCTCCCCATCCCCCTCTTCCCTCCTCTGTTCTTCCCGAATCCCAATCCGATCTTATTTCCTTTGACTCCGGTCTGCCGCCCCCCTACCCCAGAGATGTTCCTGCCGGCGCTGCTAAAGCAGGGAGCCCTCCTCCCCCATTACAGGGTCCAGCGCAAGGTACTCGAAGTCGGAGGGCCCCAACTTCCAATGGCGTGGCCATTACCCTGCCCCTCCGCCCTTTCGGTCCCCCGGTCCCGGACGGGCAAGGGGGGGACATCCCGGCACTCCAATATTGGCCTTTCTCCTCCTCTGATCTCTATAACTGGAAGAATAATAACCCACCTTTCTCTGAAGATCCCGTCAGACTTACTGATCTCCTTGAGTCCCTTATGTTTTCCCACCAGCCTACTTGGGATGACTGTCAGCAACTCCTCGGAGTCCTCTTCACTTCCGAAGAGAGGGACCGAATCCTTCTGGAAGCCAGGAAATTAGTTCCTGGACCAGATGGACGTCCCACCCAGCTCCCAAACCTCATAGATGAGACCTTTCCGCTGAGACGACCCAATTGGGACCCAAATGCTCCTACCATACGCCCTCTTTCGGGCTCGTAACACCCCCTCTGCAAAAACCAACTTGACCCCCTTTGAAATACTGTTTGGAACCCCTCCGCCCATTCGTGACTTGTCCCCCTCTGACATAAATGTTCCGAATACCCCCTTATCTATTAGATTGCAGGCCCTGGCCAGAGTACAGCACTGCCTATGGAAGCAGCTATCTGACCTTTACCAACCGGAGGGAGACGGGACCCCACATCGTTACCAGCCAGGGGATTTCATATACGTCCGAAGACATCAACACCGGACCCTCGAACCCCGCTGGAAGGGGCCCTACCAGATACTCCTTACCACACGCACGGCAGTAAAGGTCGATGGCATCACTGCTTGGATTCATGCCTCTCACCTTAAGCCTGCTCCTCCTCCTGATGACCAATGGACCCTGGAGAAAATGGACAATCCCCTCAAACTGCGTGTACACCGCCACGGTGCCCAACCCTCACCAGCCGACTCTACAAACCTGGCAGGTGATATCGGGGACTAGCGATGTTATATGGGAAGCATCCACCAGTAATTACCCCCCTTGGACCTGGTGGCCACCCCTCTACCCAGACCTTTGCCAGCTGGCGGCAGGCAGGGAAGATTGGGGTGTCCCGACTACTGACCCAACCAGCCCTAACACCTGCCAGTCCAGGGCATGTGGATGTCCAACCAGTGGGCTGGGCACTGAAAGTTACGGGTGCTCTCATCCCGAATTCCGTAATATCCTACGGGGACTGACCTTTTATGTTTGCCCCCGAGAAGGATGGGACCGGAATACAGCTTGGAAATGCGGGGGATTAGGAGCCTATTATTACAAAGCCTGGGGTTGTGAGACTACTGGTACAGTTCCCTGGAAGCCCACCTCCTCTTGGGATTGGATTAAAGTCACTCGAGTTAGTGCTGAGGGACTTAAAGACAACAAATGTTATGGGAAAGCCACCCCCCGGAGAGGAACTGCTTTGGGGTCCTGGACCAGAAGGGCCGGAATCTGGACTGGATCGGGACCCTGTTTAAATTTCACCTGCAACCAATTGAACATCACTTTTACTACCCAGGGGAAGAAACGGGATGATTCCTGGCTAAGAGGCAGACAATGGGGACTAAGGATGTATCTGTCAGGGGGGGACAACGGGCTGACCTTCAAAATAAGACTCCAAATAGGCAGCCCTAAGAACGGGCCAATCGGACCTAACAAGGTGCTGGCCAACCAGAAGATCCCTAGGTTCAGTAGCCCTCTCCCCATAACCCCCAGATGCTCCCACAGATAACCTCAACTCTAACAACCCCTTCAGCACGACCCCCACCTCCGGATCTCTCAGATTTGGGAACCACAGGGCAGCGATTGCTAAACTTAATAGAAGGAAGTTACAAGGCCCTAAATAGCTCCCACCCCAACCTTACTGACTCATGTTGGATTTGCCTCCTAGCAGAGCCACCTTATTCCAAAGGAATTGCCATAGATGGGAGCTATCGCGAGCTCAGTAACCCATCCCAGTGCAAATGGGACCAGAAGCATCTGCTCACCCTCCCGGAGGTAGCAGGGGAAGGGACCTGTTTAGGGACCCCAGCTGCTGCCGATTTGAAAAGATGTCAACAAATAATCCCCATTACACCTAATAACTCCTACCTGCTACCGGAGGAAGGGACACGCTGGGCATGCAGAATGGGTTTAACTCCCTGCATATCCACCCAGGCCTTTAATAACTCTCAGGACTTCTGTGTAATGGTGAGAGTCTTCCCCGGCTAATATATCATGAAAGCAATGACTTTGAAGAGGCAGTCGAAGGGCGGACTAGGCGGAAAAGGGAGGCTGTCACCCTTACTCTGGTAGTGCTATTAGGGGCCGGAATACTAGCGGGAGTAGGAACAGGGTCTGCTGCCCTGATTGAGGGGCCTAGACAGATGGCAGCCCTTGAGTCCGCTATCACCCAGGATCTAAAGGCAATACAGCAGTCTATGGAGGCATTAGAACGATCCCTAACCTCTCTATCTGAAGTAGTTCTGCAGAATAGACGGGGTTTAGACTTATTATTTCTAAAAGAAGGGGGGCTCTGTGCCACCCTCAAAGAAGAATGTTGTTTCTATGCTGACGACACCGGAATAGTCCGGGACTCAATGAATAAACTTAAAGACAGATTAAATGCCAAAGAGAAGAAATTGCTAGAATAGCAGGGATGGTACAACAAATCACCCTGGTTGACTACCCTCATTTCCACCCTGGCAGGACCTCTCATTATCTTATTATTAATCATAACTATTGGGCCATGCATTCTAAATAGAATAACTACCTTTCTACAGGGACAGATAGGGGCAGTCAAGCTCATGATCATGAGACAACATTACGAGCAACTGGGCCAGGACTCAAATCTCTAGCATTAGAGATGTCCAAAAGAAAAGGGGGGAATGTAATAATAAAATGGAAAATTCCACTCCACCCACCACTAGTTGGAAAACAGCAAACTGTGACTGTTTACTCAGTTAATCTAGGGTGCCAGAAAACAACTGTCCAACACAGGAAACTGTGACTGTTTACTCAGCTAATCTAGGGTGCCAGAAAACAACTGTCCAACCGCGACCCCCGACCGACTGCCGCCCAGCTGCTATGAGAACCTGAGCAGCTTCCCCATTCCCATGGTCCTGAATCCTCCCCTCCCCTCCCTGAAATGCTGTATAAAACTCAGCCGCTGTTGTCACTCGGGGCTCTTGGCTTACTATCAGCCTTGAGCCCGCTCGCGTGCGTAATAAAATTTCTCTTTGTGCTTCCAACCCCTGGTACTCATCAATTTCAGTGGCGTCATCGTCTAACACAGGGAGATGCTAACCCTACATCTCCCCGTGAACTTACCTTGGAAGGAAAACAGGCTATACGCAAAGTTGAACAGGCTATACGCAAAGTTGAACAGGCTATCCATTCTCAAGCAACCACCTTTATGGATTACACTAAATCTTTAAAGTTTATTATTTGTAAGACTGCTTTCTCCCCTACCACTGTTTTCTGGCAGACAGCGCCCTTAATGTGGATTCACTTGCCTGCCACACCTAAAAAGGTAACATTGAGCCATATTATCAGTTTCCAATCTCATTACGATGGGTAGGGAACAAGCTAGGCAAATTGTTAAAAATTTGATCACATGCTAACCACATTTACAGTTCTGGGATGCCCACAACAATTGAAAACCTATAACAGCCCAGGCTATACAGCCCAGCCTTCTCCCAATTTTGCCAACGCCTCAATATTCAACACACAACAGGTATACCTTACAACCCTCAGGGCCAAGGGATTGTAGAGAGAGCACATTTGTCTTTAAAGATCACCATTAATAAAATAAAAAAGGGGGAATGGTACCCCGCGAGGGGGTCACCCAGAAATATTCTCCCTCATGCCTTATTTATCCTCAATTTTTTAAATTTGGACACTAATGGGCAATCTGCTGCTAATCGCTTTTGGCATTCAGAAACCCAAAAACAATTTGCCTCAGTGTTGTGGAAAGATCCGCTAACCAACTCTTGGCATGGCCCAGACCCAGTCCTCATCTGGGGCCGAGGTTCTGTATGCATTTACTCTAAGAAAATGAAATCTGCCAGGTGGCTACCAGAGCGTCTGGTTAAACAGACTGATCAAGTTAAAGGAATAACAGATAACCATATAGATAACTCCAGGGACGAAAATTTGCCCTGAGAGGCTGTTTTTTCTTTATTTCAGGAATGGACCGGAAGGCTGAAATCTTACTGCTAGGGATACTACTGCATCTTTGCCTGCTTATGGAAGGAGGTTTGGGGCCTCTTCCACACCGTGACGAGCTCCTGAGGGCCTTATTTGGCCCCCCCATGCTTCAATAACCCCCTTTGGAGCGGGCTAAATGAGGTGCTGCCTTATCTTCTCCCTCTGTTGGGCCCCTTACTTGGCCTTTTACTGATTGTGTCACTCAATGAGGTGATGGCTTTTATCAAGCAGCAGACAGATGCCATTGAGTTGCAATCTATACAGGTCCATTATCATAGACTTGAAATGGCCGACAGAGAAGCTCACTCTAGCTGTGAGTCAATAAGCTCAAAAACCTTGTCACCTT